ATATATATATATATATATATATACATAATTATACATATATATGTTCACAGACGTCTCACACGCTTCAGATATATTCGAGACTCCACAAATTGGGGCACACATCAACAAAAGTGTACTCTGATTTCACCCACTTTTTCTTGCACGCCTAGATACGCTCCAGCGCCTTCTTCCCGCCCCCAATCGGTGGGGCTACATACATACTTGCACACACACACACATACACACACAAACGTGTACGTATACTCGCACACACAGCCGAGAGGCTTTATTCAATTGGATAGACACGCCAATTTGTCACATGTCCATCTAAAAAATTGTATAAACTAATTGAAACTTTGACGAAATAGGCATAAAAATATAGTAACAGGAAAAACTGGAAATGCACCAGCTTTACTGAACGCACTTGTACTGTTACGTACCTCCAAAAGCGCATGCTCAACTTTTTTCATTGTCGTGAACTAAAAGTCCCATACTCATTGGGGTAAACAGAAAATTAGAAAGATACTAAAATGCACACACACACACACACACTCATGAATGAATGAAGACCTTTTGGGCTGGGTGTTGGCTACAAGGGCACCGACGAGTGTACTTGGCACGACCCGAAAGCGGTGTCGTTTTACGACTTGCAAACAAGTTTCTAAGAGTCAATCTCCCGACCTTAGTCCACCAACAAGTGTGTGCGCTTGTGCATGTTGGTGTTTGCTCCCATGCCCAAATCCAGCCTCACAAGAGTCAAACGGCCTTTGGCCAACTCAACCCACCAATGCCGTTCCTTCTAGCCTCGCTGACAGGAGGACGGTCGGACATCGTTCGCCCTCTCTCATTTGCTTTAGCAACAAAGGCAACTGTAGCTTTTCGGTAGATGCCTGCTGCTGTTGCCGTGCCTGAATTGTGTGTCGTTAGTTTAAAGGCAAAAAGCATGCTTTGAACCACGTTGCACTTTATGTTGGCCGACGTTCTCGACAATTGTATCACTCCAATTAGCCTTCGTCAGAATCCCGGTTGAATGGGCTGTGGTGGGTGAGCTCAGCCTCCCAAAGACAATTCACACAAACAATAAACCTCGGTTCCCGGTACGGTCAAAGTAGGAAGATCACTCCACCCAAATGTAGCCTGAAAAAGGCCCAAAGACATGTTGCTTTGTCCAAAACCCGCATCAAGCTGAGGGCGGATGGTGACAGCATATTGCTTCTACTCACCGATTCGAAAAAAACTGTTTATCTGCACGTGGTGTTCGCTTGCGTGCGGCAGCTCGGATCTGTATGAATCCTCTAACTCTGCCGGCCAGACAACCGAGACTCAACTGATTACGCAAAGTAGGCATAATTGGCCAGCCAAAAGAGGGTGAACCAACAGTTGACTCACCGAAACACCGAGTCTTTTATGTGAATTATGCTTATGAACAGTATGTCTGGCATAGATACGGGTTCATCTGTATGAGACTTAGTTCTGCCTCCTCTTCGTCAATTGGCCAATTCGCTCGGGTGCGACTTTGCCACTGCATAAATTACAAGCAGATGAGCTTCCGACTCACTTCAATTCAACCCAAAACGGCATGGGCTCTCTCTTTCCTAGAGCCAGGGCTAAAACATCGGGTAAAACAGCATATGTCCCGTTGCCAAGGGATTCCCACCGACGCAACGTTGATAGGCTCGCCTCGACTACACATACTTTGAGACGTCTTGGCATCCTCATTGTGCGAATTTTCGTAAATCGAAAATTAAAGAATGTCCAAAATGGTCTGACCTCATTTTCACCATTTGGTACCTTCAAGAAATATGCCTTGTCCGCTTCCTACATCAAAATTGTCATGACATTGGCCAGGCTCGTCTGGTTAGCTTGATAGTCTCACAGACTCCAAGTCAGCATTTTATTTTTCGTTTAGGAGTAGGTCATCATTTTAGTCGGCATCATCAATGAGCCTTGCTATTCGCAGCTCAGAGCTGCGCAGGATGGGCTGTATCCTTCAGGACACATACAACACAACCCAGCTTCTAACACGAGATTAGCCCAAATGGAAACCACCAAAATTGAGTCAACACACATCCTTATTAACAACACTATCATTAGTAAAAGTGTTATTTTAAGAACTCAACAAGTGCAAAGTTTTTTAGCCCAAAAACTACTTCAGAAAAAGTGACCTGACCTCGTTTTCGCAACTTGGTCGCGTTGTCAGGGCGACCTAGTTGGAGGTCCGTAGACCGACGTCCTCCGCTGTCGTAATCATTAGCCCCCGCGTCGAACTTTAAACTTGGTACAGACGCAAACGTTTCGCCGGCATCATCGTCGGCCTCGCCAGTGAGTTTTATCACTCTCAGTCAATTCTTTGACAAACTTTCTGCCGAAGCGGTTGTGCTATCAATTCTCCTTCTATTTCGGTCCATCTATCTACTCCATACCCTCATATTTGGCCACCGCACTATCACAATTTCTGACTCACAGACGAGCCGACTACGAGACCGGCAAAACGTCTGTGAAGGCAGCAAGTCCATGGTCAAACGTTGGGGAAAATGGTGGCTGCTAAGGCAGAGGACTTGTAACAAGATGCGTTCAACTACGTCACCTTGACAACACGACCAAGTTGCGAAGATTGGTTTAAGCCAGTTGTATGTATCGAAAGGAAACTACGATCTAAATAGAGACCACAACATCTTGGTCCTTATTTCTAATTCACTAAATTTTTGATTGCTCACCCCTGATTCGGAGCGTTAACTTATTCCAGTCATCTAAAATCGGTCATAGAAAAGTAGAACTTTGGTAGGTCGCTAATGTCTGCCATAATGTGTCTTAAATAGGCTTATCAAGTGGATCTAGAAAAGTTTACTAATATTTTTATATCTTATCTTGCATCAAAAAGCTAGTTGAACGAATTCCTGGACTGGTCAATTCTGATCACAAGAGAAGACTGATTCAGAGCCGTGGGGATCTTCAATTTTAGCATCCTCAGAACCCTGTTAACCCGGACTGCGTTGTCTTCTCTATTTCGTTTCATAATTAGGTTTCGCAGACTACCAGCAGAGTTCATGTCACCGTATGGAAATTCAAATACCAGTCCTGCATCACCATAACCGAAATGGGATGCATATAGCTCTAATATCGGACATAACGGTAGTCTCGAGAAGATAATTATTGAAACTAAAAATAAGTTATACAGTCAATTGCTATGTCAAAAACAACTTTGCTCCGCCAAAACTTCAATCGCAGAAAAGTGATATTGGAAAGACCTAGGTTTTGTTGGAATTCCCTTCTGCCCTGTGACCCCAAGGCATTCGTGGCAGTCTGGCATAGTGTTGAGACTACGAGACACTACCACAACTGGGGCTCGAGTCTCGTTGGGGGTGCGAGATAGAAACTGCATTCCATTAAATGCTAACTTACCCTTTTCTCAAATGATAAGAATACCCAGAAAACGTAAGGATTTATTCTCTTCCATTTCCATCGTGAACCTAATATTCCTTTCACTCTGGTTGAGTGAACGTGGGAAACTATCTAAACTGTCCTTCTCATGAGGCCAGATGACGAAATAGTCATCCGCGCATCTAACCAACAATTTTGGTGTTAATATTGCCTCTTGTAGGAAGTTTTCTTCCAGCCTTGTCACATAATTGAAGGTATGAAGACCAAGATGGTGTGGCCTTTTGTGTGGTCGCAGACTTAGAGGAACGCACCTAGTCCATGGTCCATTGTATGTATCATCATTTCCAAAGTCGGACCGTGGACGTGGTACATTCCCAGACGTTTCGCCGGCATCGTCAGTGGTTATCGCCATTCTTAGCACCACACAACAACTCGTCAAAGAGACAAGTGAAGCCGATCCCTTGTCGAGACGGTTTGGCTATCACTCCTCATTTCATACCCTCGTCCTATCATACATTCCTCAGGAAATGTGCCCATTTGGCGAATTCACCGTGGCTTGCCTTGCTCACGGCAAAGAAGGCAAGATCCCATCGCTATTCCGTGTGTTTGTCCATATAATTTACCATCAAAGGTAAAATATGTGGTACTCATGCATAGACTAATAAGTCTAATAATTGAAGCTACACTCAACCTTATTCCTTGTGTTATCTCTGGATGCTCCACCAGACTTTGTATGAGAGCTTGAATAGCTCCTTGAACAGGAATGTGTGTGTACATAGACAC